CATCTACACCGAGAGGGATTGACTATTACCCAATACGAGATGAGTGTCACAACCCAAACCATGCGACCGACACCTGACACACTACCCGACCCCAGCGAACCAAACCATATGATGCACCCAAACCATATGCATGAAAACTAATTTAGCTGTGGAAGCTCTTTGAAATCATACTCCCTCCGTTCCAGTTTATGTGAACCTATTTTCTTTTCGATCCGTTCTAAAAAGAATGACCCCTTTCTAAATTTAGAAACAATTTAGCTTAAACTTATAATTCTACCCTTAATGAGAAGCTTTTATAACCACACAAATACTCTGGACCTATTTTTGACTTGTTTAGGACCACAAATTCCAAAAGTCTTAATTTTTTCTTAAACTCCGTGCCCAGTCAAACAGGTTCACATAAATTAGAACGGAGGGAGTATATATTTTCAAGTTAAATGATGAAATATTTTTCCAATTCAAAATCACCCATGAAGTCTTTCATAACAATAATGAGATCAAATACAACAAATATCTTTTCATATATGTCGTGTATCATCTAGTTACTACAACTCATTACAAATATATATGGAGCCTCTATACCAAATAACAAAACTGAACACTTGGGCTAATGCCCGACTAATATAAAATAAGTAAACAACCTTATAGATACTACGGAATCGGAGTGGTGCCTCACCATATACCTCGAAAAGAGAGTCATTCTAGTCTTGTTTGTATACCACGTATCACACATTATCCTGAAACATGTAAAGTAAGTGAGGGCCTGAAGAGGGGCCCCTAACGGCCGAGTACATCACCACGGTACTCAATAAGTATCATAGACTCTCTCTAACTCAAGTTCCTGAGACAAGATTTTACAACCAATATTTGATATAAAGTGATAAACAATTATATAAATCGTGTTCTTTATTGTAGACATGTAATTTTTGACCATCCCCAAGATTTTACACATTTTAGCGTAAATATTTAGTTTAGGTTTAGTATCACTCTCTTTTACTTTATTTTTTATCACAAAAAATAAAAATTACAATTTTTTTTTATCTTTAGGTTAAAGTCAATTAGTATATTTATATTTATAGTATTATAACATTTAAAAATACAAAAAAAAAATTGGTTTCACTTTTAATATTTAGTTTTATATTAGTTTATTTTAATTTAGAGTGATTTTTACACTTTATAGGTACATTGTATTATTTGGTCTTCTTAGCTTAAATTTAAACCCAAAAAAAAACATGGTCCAACTCAATTCTCTAAATCCAAGCCCAATTACCCTTAGCCCAAATAACCTTAGCCCATTACCCCATCCTTAACCCTAGACCCCTTCCCATAAATACACACAATGAAGGAACATTCTAACACAAAAAAGCAGAGGCAAAAAACAAACAAAGAAAGGAAAAGAAAAAAGAAAGGGAGATCGGAAAGGGACAAAATCAGAAAGGGGATGGGGATTTGGAAATAGAGAGTAACGATAGAAAGAGGAACATTAAGAAAAGCCTAAGGATCTGAGAAAAAACAGAGGGGGCACCAAAAAAGAAAGGTTAGCACTTGTCTCCTTCTTTTTGGATACAGAACCATAGCAAAGGAAAGATTTCTCTGGTTTTTTTTTTTCATTTTTACACTAAAAATCAGCAAATCAATTCCATTTTTTACCCATGTGAATAACATGGATACCCGTTGAAACAAAGTCTTCTTGTAAGAACGAAGACAACTGAAAACCAGCTGAAAATTCCACCCCGAGATAGCCCCAAAATTTCCTCGAAATCAGCCCCAAAAATATAAAAACGGTCCACAAAACACCATTAAAGAACATGCCTCGAACCCAGCTGGACTTCAGCTGAAAAATAGCTCAAAAAACACAGTAGAACAGCTCCATAACAACAACATTTTTGTTCGAGGCCATCGAGTCCTTGTCTACTGTTTTGGTTGGTCATTTTTCGGTTTGTTTTCTGAGTTGCAGCTTTGAATTCGTCAATAAAAGTTCCAATTCATGCCTCCTCTCTTTTCCCTTGTCTTTTAATTGGATGGTTTTGTTTCTTAATTATTGTTTGTGCTATTTGGTTCTTTCTATTGGATAAATTTTAAATAGCTAAATTGAGACTTCATTTGCGATGCTTTTTTTAAGGGGTCGTTTTGTAGGAGGTATTAGAAAAAAGAATGCAAGCATTAGCTCTATGCATTACTAATACCTTGTTTGGTATATTTTTTCAACCTATGTATAACTAATATAATACTTGTATTAGTTATACATCATACTTCGTTATTCTATGTATAAGTAATGCATAGAAAACCATGGTATTAGTAATACCGAGGCTATTAATGCATGTATCAGTATGGTTAAAGACATAATTGTCTTTAAGTCCCTTTAAAGTTAAAGAATATGGAGGATATTTTTGTAAACAACTATTTTTCTTAAATATTATGCAATGCATTATAATTCTAATACACCACACCAAACAATAGATAAGAAATAATATCTGCATAACTAATACTTGTATTACTAACCCATACTAATCCATGCATTACTAATCCATGCATTACTAATGCACACTATTCCGCATTATTTTTATGCACCCTACCAAACGACCCCTAAGAGATTTAGGTTTCAAGAATAATCTGATAACAGGAGAATTAAATTAGTAGGTAAAATGGATTTAGTGGTGGTTTGAGTAATAAAACAAGTACTGGTGGGTTGGAATTTGATAAATTTAAAAGAACTTGAATATTAGATAATCATGGCTCAATAAAGTTCATATATAGCTTGGGTTTGGGTATAAAGTGGCATTGGAATGTGGTTGTCCTTTCTTCGCTAGGTGAGTGTGAAAAATCCTTTTCTTTGGCAGTGCTTTGTATCCTTGGATTTTTATGGATAAGTTTCAATGATTTTGTCCTTAGCGTGCATGCTAATTAGAAATGCTTTTTTCATTTAAGATAACTGAATATTTTTGATGTCATATGAACGTTATCTCTAATTAATTTGAGTAAAAATATAAAAATAAAAATGTGTAAGTAAACAAGGCTTATTGTCAATCTAGATTGTTTTCGTTCTAGACGAGTTGATTGTGTAGTTCTAAATTTGAATAATGTATATTCATATTTTGCAATTAATTTTTAGACAGTCTTATATGTACTTCTACAAAGAAACTCCTTAATACTTAAATCTTTCACATGCGCTCTTGAACTCAAGGAAAATAATCAATTCTCGAATATTGTTAGTTGCTTTATGCACGAATTAATCAAATTATGGTTATTATGTATACGTTCGCGTAACATAATTATGATTTTTCTAAACT